GCCTCAGGTGCCATGTCGGTATGTCCTAGTCCGCCCGGCCACCACCATACAACGCGTACACCACCTGCTCACCAAATGCCCGAATAGATTTTTGACCCTCTAGGTCATTACAAATTTGTAGGGACACACAATGAACTCAGATGATGCATTTATTTACAACGAGGTCTTCAATTCATCGTCATCGGAAGGCGGTGGCGACGAATACGAGTTGATGATGATGAGCATCCTCAAAGCAATAGAGAAGGGAGAGTAGCATGTTCTCAACTACAAGGGTTCGATGCTGGGCGGGAAATATGTTAGTCGAAATAGGGCAAAGGGTCATGTCGATCTCTACGATGACTATTTTAAAGCCAATCTAATATATAATGAGGGCTTCTTTCAGCATCGCTACTTGATGCACAAGCGTGTGTTATTGCACATAGTGGAGGGTGTGAAGGAATATGACATTTACTTCACGGTGAAGAAGGATTACACGGGTTCTCTCCTCTCTAAAAATGCATTGCTGCTATGAGGATGGTTGTATATGGTACAACTGCAGACACCATTGATGAGTATGTCCAGATGGGAGAGATCACATGCATTGACGCAACTGTGAGATTTGTCACTGCATTGGTGCGACTGTTTGGACCAGAGTACTTGAGAAAAGCAAATGTCAAGCACACACAACCAAGACTTTGGCACTTGGAGAAGCAACAGGCTTTCCCGGTATGCCAGGTTCCGTCAATTGCATTGCACTGACAATAGAAGAATTGCCTGTTAGGATTGCACGAGCAATACAAAGGTCATACCAAAGAACCCACTATGAAAGTAGTGGCATCACATAACTTATGGATTTAACATGCAATTATCTCAAAACAACGTCAATTGCAATTATGTAAGATCCCGAGACATTGTGGGAGGTGATGACTCATTTGATTTTGCACAATAAATTGTGGAGGATAAGCACAATGGTATACGTACCATCGCGGTCATCCTCCAGAATCTGACAATGGTTGCCTCCCCCACATTGCGACCTAACTTTTTGAACATGTATAAGACGCATACTCAGTAGTCAACCACACTGGACATAAATATGTCCACCTCATCTCAGAAAATATGTCCAGTGATTGTTTGGGAAATAACCCCTCACCGGATTTGTGGTAGAGATGGTTACAAAAGGCACATGTTTCACCGCATTCATGGAACTAAAATGAACTGAAAATATATATCATAGTTTCGTGCTTCCTTCCCAGTATAACTAAACTCAATAGTTTCGTGCTTCCTTCCCGGTATATAACTAAACTCATTTATGCAAAAAATTGAGATGGTCAGCTGATTACTTTCTGGACTTCGGTGCATCTGGTGTATAGCCCATGATCTTCAGTTCTTCGTTCTTTTCCTTATTCTTTTTCTTTGTCTTTTGTGAGGGGTTCAGTTCTTCATCCTTGGCCAGCTGAAGTGCCGGGGCGTTTGAGTCTTCTGAGAGACGTTAGTCACAGAGGTAAGGATTGGAGTTAAGTGTGCCTCCCAGAACTCACACTTTTGAGCGCTTCAAGTAAACCACGAGCACGACGCCTGTCAGGGCAATAGCGCCAGCCATTAGCCCGTAATGAGCAGGCATCAACTGACTTTTTTGGAGAGGCACTAGCTCCGGCAATTGCTTTTTAACTTCAGAACTGGAATCCGAGTTGTCAATGTGCAACCTCAGGACCTGCAAGTCCAAGCTCCACTACAATGAGGCATAGGAGACAAGCAAAAGACTGACACATCTGGCCATGACAAAGTGGTAAAGGAATCTCCGGATGCTTGTGCTGAGAGTAATAGCAAAATAGCGGCATTTTAAGCAGGCAAATGGGTTCTAAGTCAGAGAAAGGAAATACCTTCAATCCGGATGATTTGGCATTGAGAACAGCACCGGCAAGATCAGAATCTGTAGTAAGCAGCACCCTATCACCTTCATCATCGTCATACTGCATAGAACATCAGAATCAAAATCTTATTGCTACTGCAGTTTGGATGTAGTATAGTGTAGAATACAGGCTAAGGTAGCTGCAACTGCAAGTGAGCGAGTGCTCTACAATTAAGAATACATTCATTCATGGGACTAAGTAGCTAGCAGTACCACTCAAGATAGCTGATGTTATTCAAGGCGGTTCTTGGTGTTAGTCCACTAGTTACAGGAACCATTTTGTATTACTATGTAGGATCTCGAATACATTCAAATTATACTCAATGGTGACGTCAAGTTGGCAACTACGTACAGGTGTCTTCGGAAGGAGAATAGCTTTGACTAGACGTGTAGTTTCCTCCATAACCATAGGAATGAATAGTATTCCCAAGGAATTCATGTGCTCGTTTCATATACAAAACTAATGCATCCACATGGAACTTTCCTCTGGAATCTGCATTCCTATGGTTTTCCTATGAAATCCTCCAAACCGAATGAGCCCCTAGTCAAAGCTCATTTTACCATCCTATCGCATTCCTATGCTACTACTAATTACTATGTTTTGGTTTCCTCTAAAACGAAAAGCCCTCAATTCTACTTGCAATTATAACAGAAAATGTTCCATCAAAGCAATTAGAAATGCAAGATTGAGGATTAGGAACTGCTCATCTAGCTCTTCCGTTCAAAATGCCAAGAGTTTAGAAACACAAATATATCAAATAAAGCTTACCAAAAGTTGAATTGGGCCCTTTTCACCACCAGTGCCTAATCTTTGTGTTATAGAAGACATAAGCTCATCTAAACTCTCAGAACCTGCAGCAATGAAACACAAAATGTTGTTAGTCGGTACACTGCCACCACAGCTAGCTCTCGTCAAACTATGAAGTGTGTACCCACCGCATGTAAATCTATGCATACGTCCCTTCTTGTCCTGAAGCTTGAAGGCAAAAGAATTGCCAACAGCAGCAGGATAAATGCTACTCCTGCCATCTCCGACCTCTGACGGCATCACTAAGGATATTTCACTGAGCAATGAAATCATGCAGGTAAGCATCACATTTTTGAGCGGAAAAAGAAAATCACAAAGGATGCATCAACCAACCTCTGGCTATCAAATTCCTCATCTGGAGGCTCCAAAGCAAGAGCAGAGTCCCAGAACTTCTGCATCATTGTGTTTGCTACATCATTTGCAGCTCCAGAACCTCCTTCAGCCTTCAGACAGAGCATGTTAGATGGACCAAGGTTACAATAATATTCCTCAGGCAACTATATTCCAGTAATAGAGGAGGGGTAGAGGGCAGGGGAACACACCATAGAAATGGCTGCCTGGGTAAGTTGCAGAACATCCAAACAAGCAACAACTCTACCATCTGACATGGAAAATTGAAAAATAGGTTAGACAAAAAAAAAACAATAAGTACCAAACAGCTAGTATTACTAGGCTGAGAACAAAAAGGTTTTACCTCCATCAACAACAGGAATATGCAAGAATTTGCCATCATGCATTATATGTAATGCGTCCAGAATTGACGTGTCCAATGTAGCACAATCAGGGTGTGCAGTCATTACCTTGAGGAAAATGGTAAATAACAGTGAGTCCAGAATGAGTTGCATAAACCTTAGCCACCTTTTGAAATAAGAAATCAGTCTGGAGAAGAAACCTTTTCTACTAGAGTTAATTCGGGAGAAAGATTTTGTGCCACAACACGCATAAGCACATCCTTTGAGCTGAATTTCAGAGTAACATATACATTAACAGCTCGACAATAAACATAAAAAGGAAACAACAGACAAATGTTTAATGAAAGAAATATGAGAATGCTTACGTAAAGATCCCTTGCAGCAAATTTCCGGTAGTTATAACCACTGAATTAACACGTAGTTCACGCATTTTTTGGGCGGCTACATAAACAGGATCTGAAGGAGAAACAATCGCTACTCTGCAAATTGACATAAGAGGTAGCTCCCATCATCTAATTAACCTTTTTTGTTACAACATAACCAAGAAAAATGAACAAGAGAAAGCAGATAAGTACTTTGTGCTTTCCGTGATAATGGTTGACAAAGAAGGTTTAAACATCCGTTCTCTTATAGTTTCTATTAAAGTGGAAGGAGCTGTATCCACGAAAGTCACATCAGTTTGGTCAGCTCATGAAAAAATTGGTAGACAAGAACAATCTATTTAGAAAAGAACACATATTTACGTCAAAAACTTGAAGACTTTCCGTGATAATGATTTAATTTTTGTTTGAAATAAACTGGATATTGTTAACTATTCACGAATATAGGTCATGTGTTCTATTACTTCTTACTTGTGTATCATCAATGTATAACAACAAAGGAGTAGAGTTAGCTGGCAGTCACAAGACCTGAGAAGTTGCTACCGAATTGGCGCTCAACCCCTTCTACAGCAGCTGCAAGTGCACTTCCTTGTTCTGCTGCCTTCTCCAGTCTTGATATTGCATCATAGAGGCATTTTGCAATGTCCAGCATGGCAATAACCTCACCATTATCAACCACAGGAAGGTGTCTAAATTTCCCTAAAACCAGAATGTACAAAATTAACTTCTAGGAGTCGACGCAAACATCTCTGGAAGTAAGCTTTATGTGAAGAACACGAACACAATCACCATCAACATATATACACATCTCTCATCATAAAGCTAAAGAAAACTAGAAATGCAACCACATTTGAAACACCTTTTGAAGATTTTGCAGAAGAATAAACATAGTTAGTTCTATCACTAAGCACGTTTCCACCGGAAGTTTCAGATATATACAGATTTAGTAAAGTGGCTCTAAATTGCTACAAGAAAAAACACCAAATGATTCCCCTAACAGTAAGGATGAGAATTTCTAGTGCCTCTGTTACTTCTTTATTAACATGTCAGTTTGTGTTGTCAGCATAGTTAAAAAAGGCGTGTCTAGGCTCTAGGCGATAGCCAAACACCTAGCGCATAATTGCGCTCAAGCGTGCACTTTGGACAGAAAAGCGCAAGGCAGTGGCAAAACGCACAATTGACGCCTAGCGCTTGTTTTAACTTTGGTATCCGTATAGATAAATCATTAGGGTTTTCAGAAACTAAACTTTGTCAGTTTTGTAATCATTTAGGATATTTGTTTTGAATTGCAATCCATCTTGTTAAGAGTTACTGCTTTCAAATGCTAATGCATCAGGAGTTGAAGTTATGTAGCAGCTAAACCTATAAAGCACATCCTACATGAATTTTTAAGAAAGCAGTGAGAAACTTGATAGAAAAGATATAGCCACAGAAGATTTAAGGGGAAAAAGGGACGAAAATAAGAAAACTTTGAAAAGTTAAAGTGCTAAAATTTAACAAATTGCAAGAAAAGAGAAAATTGGAGGAGTAAAAATAAAATAGTTAATACAGGGTCAATGACTTGACTTGACCAAGGGAACAGATTTAACTGCTGAACCATCTTGTTGTCAATTGTGTATTTAAAAGGACTAAATTATGGCAACTGGAAAAGAGACGTATAATATAATTAACTGAACTGTACTGATCATGATATAACAGAATTACCTTCAGAAAAGACAACACATGTTACAAGTTATAGGATGTGAGTTTCAACTGATTCGACCACTCACAGTGATGGTTAGTTGGAGCATACTGTAACTTAAAGTGTAGCTCAAATATACCTTGGACCATTTTCTGTAGTGCCTCGATAGCAAGTGTGTCAGCTGTGACATAATGAGGGCTGCGTGTCATGATCTTGGATATGATTGTTTGCTCAACCCGCAGCCCCTCGGCAATAACCCTTGTGGCTATGTCCTACATCATAAGGCAGATGGTAAGTAAAAACAGAGCAGGTTGTTCACATCATAAGCATTTTCACATGTAGCAGTCAGACAGACTGCTGAATCAGTCCAGAAATAGGGTGGAACACGCTGATACAGTGTTATTCAAAGAATAAGATGACTCACATGAGCTTACAAAACATTGCTACTGTACTGACCATTTTTCCATCAGTTCCAAGTCTGAAGCATCATCAATTAAACAAGAAACTGAACAAACACATTGTTGGTCATAAACTAAAAGTTGTATAAACTGAACATAACTTCCAACCTAAACATGCCTTACTCTAGTCACTCGATGCAAATGCAAAATTGCAGACACAAGCAATCTTTATGGTGTGGAGTACAGTTCAAAACAGGCAATGTACACTGTTACCTTAAAGAATCCTACCGTTCAAGCTCCGAACACTAACTAAACGACAACCGGCGCAATCATCAAAGGAAGATTCCAAGAAAGAACATATCACCTTGTCGGTGACAATGCCGGAGAGGAGGCCGTTGACGTCGGTGAGCAGCACGGCGTCGACCCGCCTGGCCGCCATCCGCCGGCACGCCTCTGACACCGTCGTCCCCTCCGGGATCGTCAGCGCCTTCGACAGCCGCAGCTTCTTGACCGTCCTCTCCCCTCTGACAAAACCCACACCCGGCCAAAAGGAGGAATCAGGATCGAGGTGTAAACAGCAGAAAAGGGAGGAAGCGTTCGGGCGCTTACGCGACGTGGTTGGGAGAGGTGGGCTTGGAGGGGGCCTTCCCGTTTCCGTTGGCGACAGCGGCGGAGGGATCATCTGACTTGCGGGAGGAGGCGGCCGACGGCGGACGGCTGCGCGTGCGTCGGTTCTGCGCTACGGCGGCAGTGGCGCCGGAGTTCATGGCTGCGGCGTCGAAAGTGAGGGCGAAAACACTAAAAAGGGCTTAGCTTACGGCTTGGGGGTTGCCAAGGGAGGACGACGGCGACGAGGTGGCGGCGGCGGCGAATGTTGGAGGAGGGGAGCGGTCGCTGCTTCTTGTTGGGCTGCTTCCTTGTGGGAGTCGTTTTCACATTCGGTCCCTTAGATGCTGCATTATTGCGTTAAGAGTTCATGTGACTTCCTAACTTATTTTATAATATTTCTCAAATAAAACTTATATCTTATAATCTGCTGTAGAAAATACCCACCAAAATATACTAATGGTGAAATCTCTAAAAGTTGATTAAAATATTAATAATGAAAATAAATAACCAGGACCGACTAAATAAATTGATCAGTGTAATCTATTATGATGCTTAGCTGAAGGTTACTATTATTACGCGTGCGAGAAATCTGATGGGAAAACAATAGATGAGTACAAACTTATCACTCAAAATTATGAAAGTGATTTTACTATTAGATACCGTTTCATATAAATGTGTGAACTACCAGTTAATCCGATGGTCATAATTACCGAAAAATTGTTAGAAAGGATATTTAGGTAAGCATCCCCATATTCCTTTCATTAAGATTGTGTTTGTTGTTCTCGTATTTATGTTTACTATCAAGTTTTTTTTGCATGGGTTCACTATCAAGTTGTTAGTGTCTATTTATTATTATTTTTTAACATAGTACAAACGCAAAGCGTTCATAAATACACGCATACACTGATCCCTATAAACACACACATGCACACCCTATGAGACCTCTTCCAATGCAAAGGTGCTTAGATGAGGTGCTAAGTGCATTAAATACCTTAGCAACTCAACTCCTCAATGCATATGTACTTAACTTGTTGTTGCTAAGCACACTTTATTTAATGAGTTAGCACCTAAAGTCTTTCATGCATTGGTCAAATTGTTTCATTTAAGTGGTTTGTCTAGGTTCTCGCGCTTGGTATTGGTTCTTTCTGGGGTCACCAAAGTACTCTCTCCCCTTCTTAAATGTTGTGCCATGTCATTTTTTTTGCTTATGTAACATGCTTAGCACCTGTCCACGGTGGAGCACTGGAAAGGGCCTGAACACCTCCGAGTGTCGAGGCACGACAATCTATGGGATCGGCAAAGGTCCCTTTGCGGTTTGGCTATGGGGATCAACGAACACAAAGAGCAAATCCAGCAGAGACACACAGAGTTTATCCAGGTTCGGGCCGCCATGAGGCGTAAAACGCTACTCCTACTTTAGTGGATTGATGAGTATGAGCTCAAGTTACAAGAGAGCGCAGCTTGCTGACAAGGTGCGGGCTACGCAATGTAATTGAGGCGGGTTTTGACATTTGTAAAGATAGCCGTGGACCTCCTTTTATAGACTATGGGGTCACTACAATGGCAAAAAGAGTAATTACATATGTTGAATAGTGGCTACAGTGCAATCGTACCTAACCCTGCCGGATAAGGACAAAAGCAATAAATGCGTTGTGAGGTGTCGTATTGGGGACGAAGCCCAGCAAGGGAGCTCCTCTCTTTCCGTGTCGTCAGTCGAGCAACCTCTTATTCTACTGCCACGCTTCTGGGAAGGGTGGCAATAAAGTTGCTCTTCAGGCGACGTGCTGACACGTGCCCCGACAAGCCTAACCTAATCACCTGCCCGTTCAACACCTATTGACAAGCGACTAGCCGGTCGCTGAGGTGGAGCGGTGGGAAGGTGGAAGGAAGTTTGCTGGCACGGAGCTTGCCAGGATGTAGCTTGCCGATGTGGAGGTTGCCAGCAGATGTAATCTTGATTTTCAATACTTCTTAGTACTTCTCGATCACCTGCCTTGAGGTCTTCTTCACGGTCTTGTTGACCAGGTCTTGAGATTTCATAAGTGTCATCCTCTGGCAAGCTGTTGACGCCGGGAAGGTTGCCACTGCCTGTGCATAAATCAGGGGTATAAGACGCCCATGTTTTTATACACCGACACCGAGAGACTGAGCCGACATATCATCTTGAGATTTTACGAAGTCACCGTAGGCACCTCATAGTCGATGGAAACGTCTGCTAACGTGCATCGCTGGAAATCTGAAATAAATCCAGGAAAATGCGAGCACCGGGACTTGAACCATGGTGGGCCGGGGATATCATTGTCCTCTTAACTATCGAACCACAAGTTGGTTCGCTCTACTTATTATCTAGTGTATTAGATTTTATTTAGGAAAAAATATTTATCTAGCGGTTAATCTATTACATGTGAACACTCTGGAAAACAATAGGGTAATATAAATTTATTAACTAGAAACACGAAATGACTTCTTAACCTTTTATTTTGATCATAGCTCAGGTAGTTAGGTTTCTTGCGGTGGAACAAACCCATCAGAATTCAGGTCCTAGACTTGGCATTGGTGCTCACATTTTTCTGAATTTATTTCATGATTTCTGGCGATGTTTGGTCAGTGAGAGGAGGCATACCGGTCGACTACGGGGCGCCTGTGATGACTTCGTCAACCTCAAGATGTTGAGTGGGCTCGGTATCTTGAAGGTGCTCATAGGGATATGTTGTGCGTGTATGTGTGTAAAAATTATAAAAATAGACATAATCTAGTTAAACATACATCCAAATAGATAATTTTTATTAAATAAATTGTAATTAGTGTAATCCACTATGATGTCGAACGAACCTAACTTCGTACTCCATATGTTCCAACCACTCGACGACTGCAGCGGTGGGGAGGTTGCTGCTCATCGGAAGGCTGGTATGGATGAACTGGTGGGCGGTTGCGGGATGGAGATAGTGATGCGTGGGTGGGCAGCGGCTGTTAGCAGGCGATGCTCGACGACAGCGTTGTTAATCCAATGAGGTGATCTTCAACGGCATCCCAACCTGGCTAGGTCACAGGAGAAGAGGGAGTCAGTGCATGGTCCCCAACGTCCGCGAGCTCGACATCGCACCCAGACACATGCAATGGCATGGGTGATTTTTTTCCAGGTTTTCTTTAGCGAGTCTTTGAGTTTGGTTTGGGGTGGCAAGGAGGCGGTGCTATTCCCTTGTAGTAATAATGCTTTTCCCGCTCTTTCCTTGTTCTATTAGTGTGTTTATCACCAGCGGAGGGTGTGTGGAGCCATGTCTTCAGCGCGTCTATTATGATCTAGTCGGCTTAGGTTTCCGGTGGATCCATTTAGATTCAACCAACATTCATGGTCTTCAAAGTTTTTACAAGCCCTTATTGGCGATTTCTTCTCCGAGGCGGCGATTTTCTTCATATATCGTGCCCGCCGGTGTCTCCTAGTTTGTATCGACGACTTCCTGGTCTGTATGGACGACTTCCTGGTCTGTATCGATGACTTCCTGGCCGCTGCTTCTACAAGCCCATGGTTTTCAAATAGTTTGCTCTACTGATGCGGAGGCCCAGAGACGGCGCCGAGCTATGCTCCGGACGTGTCGTCGGGGGATGTAGGAGAAAGAAGACTTCGGCATCACCAAAAACTTGAATGTAATTTTATTTTTCTGTATGGGTGTTTATGTAAGGATTTGTGCTGCTTAATATATGGCCTTGGGTCCTTCCAAAAAAACTACTCTATTAATATAAAAATATTTCATGGTCTCCGCAACAAAAAAATCTGATTGAAAATCATAGGATAATCCAAATTTATCACTAGAACCCACGAAGCGATAACTGAAGGAAATATGCCCTAGAGGCAATAATAAAGTTGTTATTTATATTTCCTTATATCATGATAAATGTTTATTATTCATGCTAGAATTGTATTAACCGGAAACTTAGTACATGTGTGAATACATAGACAAACATAGTGTCACTAGTATGCCTCTACTTGACTAGCTCGTTGATCAAAGATGGTTAAGTTTCCTAACCATGGACAAATAGTTGTCATTTGATGAACAAGATCACATCATTAGAGAATGATGTGATTGAGTTGACCCATCCGTTAGCTTAGCACGATGATCGTTTAGTTTACTGCTATTGCTTTCTCCATAACTTATACATGTTCCTATGACTATGAGATTATGCAACTCCCGAATACCGGAGGAACACTTAGTGTGCTATCAAACATCACAATGTAACTGGGTGACTATAAAGATGCTCTACAAGGTGTCTCCGATGGTGTTTGTTGAGTTGGCATAGATCGAGATTAGGACTTGTCACTCCGTGTATCGGAGAGGTATCTCTGGGCCCTCTTGGTAATGTACATCACTATAAGCCTTGCAAGCAATGTAACTAATGAGTTAGTTACGGGATGTAGCATTACCGAACGAGTAAAGAGACTTGCCGGTAACGAGATTGAACTAGGTATGATGATACAGACGATCGAATCTCAGGCAAGTAACATACCGATGACAAAGGGAACAACGTATGTTATTATGCGGTTTGACCAATAAAGATCTTCGTAGAATATGTAGAAACCAATATGAGCATCCAGGTTCCACTATTGGTTATTGACCAGAGATGAGTCTCGGTCATGTCTACATAGTTCTCGAAGCCGTAGGCTCCGCATGCTTAACGTTCGGTGACGATCGTTATTATGAGTTTATGTGTTTTGACGTACCGAAGGTAGTTCGGAGTCCTGGATATGATCACGGACATGACGAGGAGCCTCAAAATGGTTGAGACATAAAGATTGATATATTGGATGACTATCTTTGGATTTCGGAATGGTTCCGGGTGAGTTCGGGCATTTACCGGAGTACCGAGAGGTTACGGGAACCCCCCGGGGAGTGTATGGGCCTTATTGGGCCTTAGTGGGAGAGAGGAGGAGGCGACCTAAGAGGGGGCGGCCCCCTAAGCCCAATCCAAATTGGGAGGGGGGGCGGCCCCCCTTTCCTTCCTCCCTCTCTCCTCCTTCCTTCCTCTCCTACTCCTACTTGGAAAGGGGGGAATCCTACTCCCAGTGGGAGTAGGACTCCCCTAGGGCGCGCCATAGAGGGCCGGCCCTCCCCCTCCTCCACTCCTTTATATACGGGGGAGGGGGCACCCCATAGACACATAA